ATTCCTCCACCGTTGTACCTGGTTCGGGATAATGTGATAGCTCTAAATGAAAAGTCCATTTACTATCTATATATTCCCTGGAGGACCAAGTCACTATTAAGAGAAGGGACGGCCGCTCGAGTAAGCAACTTACTGTTCAGTTTGAGCACACCTTATTGGAATTGTTGGAATATGCAGATCCTGAAGATTTCGTTCGTCATAGACTATGTTACAACCGAGCGAGGTAGGCTTCGCAGTATGGCAAATAGCACGTCTCCTTGAACCATCTCTAGTATGTCGATGATTAGGCGTCTTCCTTCTACACAAACGCATATGCTTGTGACATACATCGTCAAATAGCGAGCAGGGTGCCTTGGCTGTTGAGCGTTGAGAAGTGTCTTTGTGATGTGCGGACAATGCCCATTTTCGTCCCCTTCTCGGAGTCGACCACGCGGGAATTTTGGGCGAACGTGACAAACTTGTAGGCATTTTTAATCGTTTATTGCGTGAATTCGCATTCTTCCTTGTGCGAGATCTGGTAATGGTCATAGCAGAGCTGGTTTCGTCCAAATTGATCATCGACCTGCCACCGCTCATTCTCGAAGTCCATCATATCACTAGCCTCATCTTACTTATGTGCAGTGAATCTGATATATATACAATGTCAAATCTTCTCAATCGAGTTGTGGCTCGCCTCACGCTACATGATAGCAGCCTCCTCCGGGCGAGTAGCGAAGGAATTTCAAAGTGAGGCTTGAAATGATGGTCGGTGGAGGATGTACATGGCCCACCATAACGGTGAATTAGTTACCTGGATCGGATTTGTATAACGGTTGTGGTATTGCAACGTCAGCCGGGAATTGAAAAAGGAGGCGAGCAAAGAAATAGAAATAAACGGTTGTGTACTTTGTAGTAGGCAAAACTTGATTCCGGACACGCGTTCTGGCCTCACAGTTGCCTTTTTGGATGGAAATTTGGAAGTCCGACGACGCCCACGCGCGCTTTTGAGTCATACTCACATTGAGTCTTCAGAAGGGCTCAGCTGGTTACAGCATTCTCGTTGGATTCTCTTTGTAGAATTCCAAAAGAGGCGGGTATAAAAGGTTTTGTGAAGACGCCGCAGGCTCTCCCTCACCCCTGGCCCTCCTATTCTCCCTGTTTGCGATATTTTTCTCCTAATATGATCGGTTGTGAGTGTAGAAGTAATAGTGTAGGGAGCGGCACTGATGAAAAGATCCTCTGCAGCTCTTTGTTCCAAGTTATTTGATGTGGTGGCACGGTCTGCGGGCCTAGCGTGCACTGGGTTGCCTATCGTAGTAGCAGGGCACCTCATTCTCATGAAGGCAAATATGCCAGGTTATTCCGAATATCCCCTCCGGTCCTCGTTGGGCATTGGTGCTCTTGGAGGATGTTTAATGGCCATTCCCATGATGATCTTCGAATGGATACTCAAGCAAATCTTCCCTATTCTGTCCGATCCAGTTGAAGTTATCAAGAAGAAGGCGGAAAAGCCGGACGTCGAATCAGGGACAGAGAATATCGAAGAGGACGAAGAGTCCACTAACTGGTGTCGACAAGGTACATTAGGGCTAGTCGTGTTCATCATGACTCTTGCAGGACTGGTGGGGTTGGGTGCTGGTATAGGCGCTATTGGAAGTGCCATACTCCGTGCTACCCATCATGAGTGCCTAGGAGTATCCCAAGCTACTCGCGCTGGTGCAGTTGGCATAGCCGTACTAGGACCTGGAGCTATCGTCGTTACACTCCTTTTAGTGCTATGTTGTGGGG